TCTTCAAGATCCCAGCAATCGCGCAACATCCTCCTGCTCACGTCAAGTTGTACATGTAGATTTTTCTGATAACAAAAAACTGTACTATTAAAATACTGTATCTACAATGTGATGTGTGTTGAACCTGATTCATGCTGGTTTTGGAACCCTTTCAGAGTTAATCTCCACCAGATTGGCCAGTTCTGCCTTTGGCTGCGGTGGCAGCACTGTTGGTAAACAAATGCACTGGCTTGCCCAAGCAACCTCTCTCTCCCTCTCGCTGTCTTCTGTCTTCTTGTGCCATAGATGTGCCTGTGTGTCCGACTTGGGGGAATCTTGCCCGACCAGTTACCAACGTCGTGGACTGCCGGCAGTCCACCTCTGCTACCGCCGCCATTGTGTTGCTATGCTGTCCGATTAACGGCTCGCAGAGTGGATGCCGTCACTGACACTGCCACCACTCTTGGCCACCTTGGCAGCGGCGGTCGTAGATGTGCAACAGCAGCAGCATCATCAGCATCAACACCATTGACGCCACTGACATCGGTCACTATGGTCAGCTAAAGGTATGTGTGTGTGTGTGTCTACTCTTTCTACCCTGCGGAAGGAAGGAAGATCAAACACATTGATTGTCTGACAGAACAAATAGACTGACTGACTCTGCCGCCGGTGCCTGCCCCTCTTCTCACATCGCCTGACGCCAGTTTTTCATTTTTTGTTGTCGTTATCTCTAGACGATGTTCTGATATCCTTGAGCTTGCATCATTATCATCAGCAGAAGAAGAAGCAGAAAACAGCTAGAAGCTGCTTGTGTATTCTCGAAGCTATCACCTTACCTATCTACTTACAAACAAAATATGACTGAATCCTCTTCCGGTGTGCGCTCCCGCGCGACTGGTGCCTCGAAGAGCAACAGTAGCAGTAGCGATACTCAAACGTCAAAGAATGCCAAAGCCGGTCGATCAAACTTTTCTTCCGCCAGACTGTCCGGCAAGTCTCTCGACCGAATCATCGCCGTCAGTAGCTTCAACCACTGGGAAGATAGTGAAACTGTCTGGTGGTGGCTCACCTTCAGCGCCATCACCATAGCCGCATTCGCCACCAGACTGTACCGAATTCACCTGCCAAATCATGTTTGGTAAGTGTTTGGAAGCGCCGTTTTTCTTTTAGTTCTTTATTTGATATCATCTTACCTTCAGTTGGGACGAGACTCACTTTGGGAAGATGGGCAGTTGGTACATCAACCACACCTTCTTCTTCGACGTTCATCCGCCCCTTGGAAAGGTAACTCCAGATCAGCTTTTGATCACTGGTGACTGAGTTACTGAGAACTTCCTTTCTGTAGATGCTCATTGGCCTGTCCGGCCACCTGACTGGCTACAATGGAACGTTTGCCTTCAACAAGCCAGGCGACAGCTACAAGGACCACCCCATCCTGGGCATGCGACTCTTTTGCGTCCTCCTGGGCACGCTCATTGTGCCTTTCTCCTATGTGATCGTCTGGAATCTCTCCCGCTCAATTAGCTCCTCAGTGCTCGCCTCCTCAATGCTGCTCTTTGGTAGGGCTTGGTGTTTAAAGTCACAACTCATAGTATCTTTCTTGTCCCAATGTAGACGTCGGCATGATCACCCTCTCGCAGTACATTCTCCTCGACCCCATCATGATGTTCTTCATCGTCGGCTCGACCATGGGCATGGCGCTGTTCAAGTCGCGGGGCGCCGAGCGGCCCTTCACCCTCTCCTGGTGGTTCTGGCTCGCCTGGACGGGCTTCTTCCTCGGCTGCGCCATCAGTGTCAAGTTCGTCGGCCTCTTCGTCGTCGCCCTGGTCGGCCTCTTCACCGCCTACGACCTGTGGCGGCTGTACAGCGACCTGGCGAACAGCCTCCTCACTGTGGGGCGGCACTTTCTCGCGCGCGCCCTCTGTCTCATCCTCCTGCCCGTCCTCCTCTACACCTTCTTCTTCTGGGTGCACCTGGCGGTGCTCTACCGCTCCGGCAACGGCGACGGCTTCTACAGCTCGGCCTTCCAGTCGACGCTGGAGGGCAACTCGCTGCACAATGCCTCCATGCCGCGACACGTCGCCTACGGGGCGGTGATCACCGTGAAGAACCACCGCACGGGCGGCGCCTACCTCCACTCGCACTGGCACCTCTACCCGGAGGGCGTCGGCGCCCGCCAGCAGCAGGTCACCTCGTACTCGCACAAGGACGACAACAACCGCTGGCGCATCAAGAAGTTCAACGAGGAGTCGACGGCCGACGGGGAGCCCATTGAGTTTGTGAAGAACGGCGACCTGGTCCGCCTGGAGCACACCGTCACCGAGCGCAACTTGCACTCGCACCAGGAGAAGGCGCCCGTCACGCGGAAGCACTACCAGGTGACCTGCTACGGGGAGAAGGGCCTGGGCGACGCCAATGACGTCTTTCGCATTGAGTTCGACAGCGGCAAGGTGGGCGAGCGGCTGGAGGCGGTGAAGACGCGCTTCAAGCTGGTGCACTACCTCATGAACTGCGCCCTCTACTCGCACAACAAGCAGCTGCCCAAGTGGGGCTTCGAGCAGCTGGAGGTCACCTGCACGCCCAACGTCTACGAGACGAAGAACACGCTGTGGAACGTGGAGGACAACCACTTCCCGCGCCTGCCCAACGTCAGCGTGGTCGTCTACGCGCCCTCCTTCCTCGAGAAGTTCATCGAGTCGCATGCGGTCATGTTCCAGGGCAATGCCGGCCTCAAGCCGAAGGAGGGCGAGGTGACCTCGAGGCCGTGGCAGTGGCCGATCAACTACCGGGTACGCCGATGGGGGGAGGATTAACTCGAGTCGTTTGTATCACTAACTCTCTTCTCCTCTCCTTAGGGCCAGTTCTTCTCCGGGAACGACTACAAGATCTACCTGCTGGGCAATCCCATCATCTGGTGGCTCAATCTCCTGCTGCTCTTCCTCTACGCGGCCATCTGCCTGGTGGTGCTGGTCCGCCAGCGGCGCGGCTGCTCGGAGACGTCGTACGTCGCCGCGGAGAACGCCCGCTTCATGTCCGCCTCGGTGTGGCTCTTTCTGGGCTGGGCGCTGCACTACTTTCCCTTCTACGGCATGGGTCGCATCCTCTACTTCCACCACTACTTCCCCGCGGCCATCTTCAGCTCCATGCTCTCCGCCGTCATCGTCGACTACCTGCTCAAGGTGGTGCCCGTCCTCCTTCTGCACGTCATTCGCCGCAGACGAGAACGAAGAGGAGGAAGTGACGAGGTGAAGGAGGAAGAGCAGCGAGCGCTCACCCGCTACCGGAACGCCCGCCTGCTGTACCACCTGGTGTACAGTGTGCTGCTGTCTGCGCTGGCCTACAGCTTCTACCTCTTTTCGCCGCTCGCCTACGGCATCCTCCGCCTGCCCACCTCCTCCACCACCACCAATGGCAGCTCCACCGGGGACTCGTTGCTGATGGGCGCCGCCTCGCAGCTCGCCTCGAACATGTCCACCAGTGATGGTGGCGGCGGTGACTCCACCAGTGCGCCCTCCTCCGAGTCCTCCGTCGACTACAGTCAGGAGCGGTCGATGGCCTCGCTGCGCTGGATGGAGTCATGGGAGTTCTGAGCCGAATGTTTGTTCCCAACCTAATCAGGCAATACTCACTACCAACTGCAATACACACACACCCCTTCTCTTTGTTTATATTTATTTCGTGTTCTCTTCCCTCCTTACCAAAATGTATTGCCTCTACTGAATCGAGTGATAACAACAACAGACACCACTGCTGATGTATTGTAATAACAGTTATAAAATATGGGATTTATTTACAAATATACAGTTTTATCAGGCCGTCGGTGGTGGTGGTGGTTTCCATTGGTGCTACTGCTGCTACCAGGTGTAGTTAACATAAGGCAAAATGTGCAGAACGTTCTCCTCCTCTTTATTTGCTGCATTCTTGCCGCCGGTCAAAACAAAGGCGGAGGTCATCTCGCCGAAATGGTGCCAGACGCCGTCCTTGTCGTAGTTGCCGTTCATATTCTCCCACTGATCGTCCGCTATTCGATCCACAATGTTCTGCTTCTCCTCATCCTTTAAACCACCATTAAGCTCGTTTTCAAGCTGAAGTTCCTCTTTAGGTTCCTCAGGCTCATCAGCTTCATCAGCTTCATTAGGTTCATTAGGTTCATCAGTATCAAATTTGAACTGTTTGACCCATTCAAGATCTTCGGGATTGATTTGCGGCATCTGAGCGTAAATCTCCCGAATATCTCGATCAACATCAGATACTGTGCGCTCGGCAGTTCCGCGCCGTTTGGCAGGTTTGGTGATCTCAGTGGTGGTGGTGGTGCTTTCGGGTTCGGATTTAATTGCTTCCGATTTGATTGCATTGCCATTGACCAGATGACCAGCAGAGGTAGACTCAGTGGCAATGGCCGGCGACGTTTGTCGACTCAGCTTACCATTTTTGCCAATTTTGACTTTTAAGTTTGGCCTCGTCACAACATCGTTCTCAAACAAGTGCGACTGCGAAGAGAGAAGCGCCGGTGAGGTGTTGGCTGAATGACTGGTGTTATTGCGTAGTGACTGCAGGGCGGGCGAGGCCGGCAGGCTTTTGTTGTGGTACCGATTATTCTTAACCACCGGCAAAACACTGTCCAGTTCATGCTGAGAGTTCTCGTCGTGGTGGTGGAAGCCATTCGTTTTGGCGTGGTACGAGGTTCCATTGACCTTTGGCCGCTTCGCCGGAGAGAGCGAGTCATTTTTGTTGTTGACTTGCAAATGCGGTGACGAGGACGCAGAGAGCGAAGGTTTGATTTGAATGTTATACTTTTGTGCCAGCTCTTGCGTCGTTTGTAGTCGTCGGCTACCTGAGATCATTATCGAGTTAAGGTTTTCCCGCAGCGTGTCTGTCTCCCGCTCGAGCTTTCTCTTCCTCGATGAGTTGTGATTGTGATGGTTGTGATGTTGTGGATTTTTGGTTGCACTGCTGTTGTTGAGAAGAGCGGAGGCACTTGGTGATCCGAGCAGGGACCTGCTGTTGGCCAGGGCAATGCCGTCGACGCTGAGGTTGCTAAATACTGACGAGTTGCTGTCCTCATCGTGCGTCTCCGCCGGCGAGTTTTGCTCCTCCGAAGAGTGTGGCTGTGAGTGCCCGGCTGCCGGTGGTGCTGTGGGCCCGTTTCGGTGGCCATTAGAAACCATGAGGCTCTGCCATGTTTTAATGAGTTTCTTAGAGAGCTTTGCAAGCTCCTTGTCAGTGGTCTTTCGCCGAAGCTCGTTGATGATCTTTCCCAAACGCGTTTTCTATTTGGTTTGCAAGATTTTGGTTGGTTTGGTCAATGGTCACAACGGGAGACAGGTCAGTCAGAGGTGGGCAACATATCCAAAAAAGAAAACGGTGAGAGGGATATGCGTAAACAAGAGAGCAGTCGTCTATTGAGTACAAACCTCCAAATCCTCGCGGGTGACGTGCATCCGCTCAAGGACCGTGATGACCCGTGTGACTTCATTGATATCTTTAACCTGTGTGTGTCGTGAGTATGATTAGTAAAGGGAAGCAACAACAACAACGGCTACAGACGGCAGGTTATTGAAAGTAGAAGTGAAGAAGACTGACTAGAGGCAGGTACTGCGCTAGTGACTGGTAAAGTCAGTAAGTAAACAACAACAACAAAACTCCCGGTTCATGAGGGTTCATCATCAGATGCAAATTTATTTTTTGTGTGTATTTTTCGGTTATTTTTATTTCAGCAAGTAAAGAGGTGAAATGGTTGGTAGGTAAAAGAGACAGCAGCAGAGAGGCGGCAGACGACAGTGATTGCGCTTAGGAGTTATATAATTGTGTGTTTGTAAATACATACATTGTACGAATCGTCGATAGATTTCTGCAGTCTGTCCTTAAGTTCGACTATTTGCGAGTGTTGCTGCATCGAGGCATGTGAGCGAGAGAGGAGTGGAAAGACGTGCGCGCTAGAGGAGAGACAATCTTTGACTGGCCACCGCTGTAGCTGCGTCTACTACTTTTGTTCGGCGGCGCGCGACGCACCAACACCACCAGCTCACTCCGGCAGACTGCTGCAGCAGCGGCAGAGCTGAAAAGCAAAACACAGCCAAGACGACGAGAGAGACGAGAGGCGAGCTCGCGCATGGGCCACTGCGCCTTTAAAGCTGTGCTAGCTGTCCGCGGAGGCGGAGTCACCGGCCACCTTCCACTGTACCGCCCGAGTGCGCCCTACTCTACATGGCGAAAGGTAGCGGTCGAGGGCGAGAGTGGCGGGCGGACGGCGTGGTCGGCTAGACTGAGCCTGCTGCAGTGCCGTTAGCAGCCTTTTCAAATCGAATTTGAGCAATTCTATCAAGGTCCACATTTTCAGTCTCCGCCGGTGCTGCGATGATGGCTGCCGACGTTCGTTTGTTCGTCCGTTCGATGCTGAAATTATTCTTATTCTTGTTCTCTAGTGCAGATTATTCTCTTCCAGGTGTTGATTCAGCCTTTGAGGACATGCCTTTCTTGTTTTCTTTCTTTCTTCCTTGCTGACTACTGCCACACTGATGATGCATGTGTGACTGGTGTGTCTGAGAGTGAGTTAGTGTTTGTGACTGTCGGCCTGTGACCGGCGTCGTCAGCCATTGCAGGTGTGTGACTCAGTTGTGTGTGTGCTGCTCAAACACCGATAAAGGGATAAGAGCCGAGGGAGAGGGAGAATAGGGCGCCAGGTTGACTTTGCGTGTCGCCGTTTAGAGACGCTTCTATCTGGTAATAAGTTCCATTTGGCGACTGTTCTTCATCGCTTTCAGCAGTTCCAGCAGGCAGTGAACTCTCTCTTTTCCTCTTTCCTCTTTTCCTTTCTATTCTTGCCTTTCCCATTCTCCGCTCAGCTAATGTTGGTCGTCACGGGCACCCACTGGCCTGCGTCAGTCTGCCGCCGTCCTCGCTCGGGCAGCAACGACGACGATTCTTCGATTCTGTGCTCGACGACGGCAGTGCTTGTGCCGCCGTTGGCTGGTGACGGCTGCTAGTGCTAGTGATATTGCTGCTGTGCTGTGCTGTGCTAACTTAGAACTGCTAACTGCCAAAGTGATCGCTTACGAAAGAGCTAACACCGACATCCTCCTCTTCACGAGCAGTTGTAGCTCCAGCATTGAGGCGACATGGCGAGAGCTTGGCAGGCGGACAGAGCGAGCGAGAGAGAGTCGACGAGGTCTCACTGGGAAATGGCCATGTCTGCTCAGTGTGCATTGTGAAGCACTGGCACTGGCAATAGCACTCACTCACACTCACATGCCATCCATAGAGGGACTGAAGCAATGGGAAAGTGTGTGCAGTGGATCCAACACTCACTGGATCCAACTGGCGCATGTGCTGATCGTGCTTCGATCTTCGACATCGTGGCCAGGCCAAGTCTCAGTGCTTGAGCGGTGCTGCAACTGTGCAGCAGCTGCAGCTGCGCCATCGTCATCCCCATCCACAGGACTGGTTTGAGGCTGTATCTGTGCTATCCATACAGCGGTAGTAGTAGTAGTACTCGGCCAGGGCACACGGCCACCATTTTCACTGCCTTTGTCTGTCTGCATCATCCATGTAGTGGTAGTGCGTGTACTTGTATCTGCACTTGGCTGCACTTCGCTCCACACCAGCCCGTCGTCGTTCCTCGTCGCCTCGAGATCCAGTCGTTGTCAGCGATCGACGTCGACGTCGTTGCTGCTGCTGCCGCTGTCTGCTGCTCTCCACAGTCCTCGAGTTCGCGCTCTCTCTTTCTTCTTTTCCTTTGCTTTGCTTCGCTTGGCGTTTGGACTGGCTTGCAGGACTACTGGCTGGCTGGCTGGCAGCGTTCTTCATCGCCGTCTTCGTCGCCGCCGCAGATAGCAAACGACCGCGGTCGTCGTTCTTCATCGTCGCTCCTCTGGCCGCTCGTTGCCTCGCTCGCACACACTGAGAGAGATAGAGAGAGGAGAGTGTCCCTGTGTGGAGGATGAAAAATTAGGTGGAATTGCCTCCGATTGCCTATGTTTCCTATGTGTGCTATGTCTGCGAGCCTGTGCCTGCCTGCCTGTCGTTGGAGTGCCACCGCCACCACCGATCTGCGAGAAAGAGAGCCACCAGCATCGCCCGCCTGTGCCTGCTCCCTACAAATCGTCGTCCTTTTTGCTCTTTCTGCTCCAACTGCGCCGTAGATTGCCTCGCCATTTGACCGTCCGCGCCGCCACTTCCCGGGCCCGGTCGAACCAGCTCAAGACGGATCCTTGAAGCGCACATTTCTCCCTTCACAGCGACACTTCTCTCGACTTTGTCCGCAACCGAAAAGTGCCTCAAATCTGCCCTTCAAAATGCGTCCCTTCTCCGGGGTCCTCCGCTCTGGTCCCGGGTCGCCCGCTTTTGGAAGCCTCTGAAATCGTCGCCCTCAACACCCAGCTTTACTTTGTCGTAAAGAACTTCACCGTCCAGCTCACCAATATGCACAGAACGCCTTCTCAACTTTTAGTGACGTCATCAACTCTAAATTCTCTTTGTGTGGGTCGTTTTGTGCCAAATTCGATCCAAAAGTAGTCCATTTACCGTAGGAATGCCAGCTCCAGTGAAGCCTAGTGCGTGCACTCAACCAGGGCCCATGCTGGGTCCAGGGTGGCGTGTTCTTGTAGGCAGGCCTGCCTTCGCTCTCAACTTCGCCCAGTTTCCTTTGTTTACCTTGCCAATTTGCAGTGGATTCCATTTCAGCGGATCAGTAGGCGCATTTTGGTGTTAGTTTGCTAAGCGGAAATGACGCCAAAAGTGCTCAGATGACCTTATTTCCGTTTCTTGGATGGCCTTCCTGTCTTCTGCGTTAGTATTTAGAGAAGGGTGCGTTTGTTCAACTGGAAGTACTGGCGCTCCATCACTGTCAAGAATACCTGGATAAAAATTGTCCAAGATGAGCCAAGAAACGGGGAAAACCTCCAAACTCAATTTCAAGACGCCCCAATTTCCTCGAGCAAAGATAACTTGTGCTGACTCATAAAGCACTGGCGCTTTTAGCTGAAGAGAAAGAGCGAGAAAGAGGAGAAGGAGGGAATGTTGCCCGACCCGTCTCTTCAACGACGGCGACATCTGCCGAGGTGGCAGCATTCGAGGGGATCAGGCAAAAAGAGTGATCATTCACCATGGTGATTCACAAAGTAGATGGACAGAAAGTCGGTGTGCTTCTCATGCAAATGGAATTTTTCCACTCTTGGATCGGGTTGAAAAACTTCTTGAACTTCCGCGACGGTGCTGCCATCTGTTGTCGAGCAATGAAAGGAGGCACTGGGTTTTGCCTCGCTCAGCTGACACAGATTCCCTCTTCCCCCAAGGAAGCATTGTGTGCGTCGGTTTGATCGCTTTTGCCGCCAAATTCAGTCATTCACTCCTGTGCGCCTCTCTTTATGCAGTCACTCGTCCGTCGATTGTTCTCCCTGTCAGCTAGTGGACCGCTTCGACATTGTCTTGCCGCCGCCTTGGCCAGCAGTTCCTCCAGGTCACCNGCCTCTCTTTATGCAGTCACTCGTCCGTCGATTGTTCTCCCTGTCAGCTACTGGACCGCTTCGACATTGTCTTGCCGCCGCCTTGGCCAGCAGTTCCTTCAGGTCACCGACACCACCACCACCACCAGCACCTACCAACAGCTCCAAGACCATGGTCAACATCAAGGAAAGCAGCACCACAGAGGAGGGGGTCACCGCGTCGCCCACTGAAGGTGCTCCGCTGAAGGTGAAGCGCCTCTCGGAGAATGCCTTTCTGCCCACTCGTGGCTCCAAGCAGGCCGCCGGCTATGATCTGTACTCGGCCTACGACTGCTCAGTGCCGGCCAGGGGAAAGAATCTGGTATGTGAAATTGCTATTGTTGACATTGTATTTTGTAAATCGGTTTGTTAACGACTCTTTCTCTTTTGTGTGCAGGTCAAGACGGACATTTCTATCGCCTTTCCGCAGGGCTACTACGCCCGTGTGGCTCCCCGTTCTGGTCTCGCCTGGAAGAACTCCATTGACGTCGGTGCTGGCGTCATCGACGTCGACTACCGTGGTCCAGTCGGGGTGATTCTCTTCAACCACAGCGATGAGGAGTTTAGGATCACTCGCGGTGACCGTATCGCTCAGCTCATTCTGGAGCGCATCTCCACGCCGGACGTCGTTGAGGTGGACGACCTAGACGAGACCGAGCGCAATGCTGGCGGCTTTGGCAGTACTGGCGTATCAGCCAAGACCGAATGAAAGTCCTTGTGTGTCTGTGTCCTTCCTTTCCTTTGACCGTATTACATTGTGATAGTATTTTCTTAAATAAAATAAAATTCCTTACTACCTGTACTAGCAGAACAAGTGTGTTTGAGATGCATTGCGTCATCGAAAAAAACTAAAAGTACTTGCTCGGACAGATTGCGACATCTAATGGAGGATTCAGGAAATACGGAGGATACGCTCACGTGGTTTGGCAGTGTTGTCATTTACCGTGCATGTTGCAACATCTGCGGGAGTATCTTCGACAACAATGGATACAGCAACCGAGAACTTCCTAACCCGAATCCTCNTTGCGACATCTAATGGAGGATTCAGGAAATACGGAGGATACGCTCACGTGGTTTGGCAGTGTTGTCATTTACCGTGCATGTTGCAACATCTGCGGGAGTATCTTCGACAACAATGGATACAACAACCGAGAACTTCCTAACCCGAATCTTGTCTCGAGAAGACCTGGTCAAACTCGAGAAAGAGGTAACTTGTTGTTTGCTTCATCTCATTTCTTTTACTGATGATGATTTGTTTGTTCTTTGCAGGATCTAGCTGACAAAGTGATCTCAATGCAGGCTCACATCAGACAGCTACAGGGCCTCCTCAACAAACAAGCGCCAAATGGCAAAAAGACGTCGACAAGGCCTGGTCGAACATTTGAATTTAGCCAGTACAAGCAGCGACACATCTTTCTGCGCTTTCTCTACCTTGGCGGCAGCTACGAGGGCTACGTCGTCCAGGAGGCGACGCTCAACACCGTCGAGGAGAAGCTCTTTGAGGCACTAATCAAGACGAAGCTCATTACCAGTCGCGAGACGGCCAACTACCACCGCTGCGGACGTACTGATAAGGGCGTGTCGGCATTCTGTCAGGTGGTCAGTCTGACGGTTCGATCGCGCCTGAAGCAGGGCCCGGGGCTGATTGTGCCCGAGGGCTACACGGGAGAACCGGTGACCAATGATGCCGGTGACACCGGTACTGACGCTGGTGGTGATNTTCGATCGCGCCTGAAGCAGGGCCCGGGGCTGATTGTGCCCGAGGGCTACTCGGGAGAAGCGGTGACAAATGATGCCGGTGACACCGGTACTGACGCTGGTGGTGATCAGCCAGCTGTTGACTTGAGCACCGCCGAGCTGGACTACATCTCCGCACTGAATGGCGTTCTGCCGAAGGACATTCGCGTGATCGCCTGGGCGCCAATGGCCTCCACCACCACCAGCGCCCGCTTTGACTGTCGTCGTCGTCTGTACCACTACTACTTCCCGCGAGGCCAACTGCAGATTGAGCGCATGCACGAGGCTTGCCAGCACCTGATCGGCTCGCATGACTTTCGCAACCTCTGCAAGATGGACATCAACAATGGAGTGCTCACCTACATCCGCCGAGTCTTCGCCGCCAGCGTCACCAAACTTGAGCCCACCTCTTCAGCTTCAGCTGACGGCGATGATTCCCCCTACTCAATGTGCCTCTTTCAAATCGAAGCCTCCGCCTTTCTGTGGCACCAAATTCGCTGCATCATGGCGGTGCTCTTTCTCATCGGCCTCGGTCGCGAGGAGCCCTCCATCATCGCCAGGCTGCTGGACATTGAGGCGCAGCCGGCACGGCCGCAGTACGGCCTAGCGCCCGACCTGCCGCTGGTCCTCTACGCCGCCGCCTACGACACCGAAACGGTGCCCCGGTGGCTGTACGGTCGCAACAGCACCGTCCTCCAGACGACAATCACCTCACTGCACGAACAGTGGACACGAAACGCAGTTCAGGCGGCCATCACCCGCTCAATGATCGGCTCACTGGTGGAGGAGTACAACACTGCCGCCAACGCCGACAGCAATGACCAGGACAGCTTGCTCAGCTTCGCCAACCTCGACTCTGCTCCTCGGGCCTTCCTCGCGGGCGTCAACACGCGCACCTACGTTCCACTGCTCAGTCGACAGCTCTGCGACAGCCTAGAGAACCGACTGGAGAAGAAGTCCAAGTGCAGTCAGAAGAAGCGAATCAAACTGGATATGTGACGGGCGTACAGGGAAATGTTTATTTGTTTGTATGTAATCATCATCTGTTGAAGGGTGGTGGAGACAAAGGTTGATAAAGGCGCCCCAAACCATGATAACACACACACACATTTTAGGTACAGGCAAACTGGGGATCGGGTGGAATTGGGGGCTGATAATTAAACTATTGGTTAAACAAAAGAACATTTCAATCAATAGTGGGCGAGAGAGAAATTAGTTCAACAGAATCGAAAAGAACAGAGAGAGCAAAGGGAGAGAGGGAGGAAAGGGTGCCACAGAGGGGGGCTAATTGGGAAAAATAATAACTGCGGTAAGCTGGTGGCTAGGAAGGGCAGAAAGCCAAACGGTGTAAGGTATAAAGAAAAGGGGGTACGACCGCGTCAGACAGTAAAGGGATTGCAGTGGTGGTGGTGGTGGCAAAGCTATTCAATCTGAAGGCACACCTACCCAAGCACGCACTCATCTTTCCCAGACCTACANCAGTGGTGGTGGTGGTGGCAAAGCTATTCAATCTGAAGGCACACCTACCCCAAGCACGCACTCATCTTTCCCAGACCTACACTTACTTGTGGTACTTAATGGGAAAGTAAATGTCATCTNGTGGTGGTGGTGGTGGCAAAGCTATTCAATCTGAAGGCACACCTACCCAAGCACGCACTCATCTTTCCCACACCTACACTTACTTGTGGTACTTAATGGGAAAGTAAATGTCATCTGCAATGACATTGAAGAGGGAGATGCGCACACCACGCAGGGCATTGGAGGACATGCGGAGGAGTTCAATGATGCGCTGAAACTGCTCCTTGTCGTGTACCGAGCGGGTGGTGTTGCTGCGGTTGAAGGGCTCCTCAATGGCGAGGAAGGAGCCCCACTGACCACCACAGGCGCTGCCAGAGGCGGCGGCGGCAGCGGCGGCGGCTGCCGCACCGGGCATTGAGGCGCGGTCGAGCACCTTTCCCTCACGTACCGATATGACGTTCTGGTCGAAGCGAAAGACGTAGCCATAGTAGCGGAAGAGCCCTTTGAGCAGCTGGCGCAGGTTGCTGGTGTTGTTGGAGTGCCACTTGATCGGGTAGCGGCGCCAGTTGGTGATCGTCTGCTTCACACTGGTGCGACTGTCGTAGCGGCGGGGAATGAGCTTCTGCAGCGAGGGCAACACCGGCGGGTCGCACACCTGCAGGTAGTGAATGACCATGAGGGTCCAGCTGTAGCTGGAGATGGTCTTGTCGATGGCGCTGCAGACGTGGTTCTCACGAGCCCACTCCTTCATGATCATCGCCAGGTGAGGAAAGCGCCAGTCGACCTTGGCGTAGTCGCGAATCAGCTGAGTGTTGCGAATAGAGACGTCCTGGTTCAGGTTCAGGGTGATGTCCATTTTGGCAATGTCGTCTCGGAACTTGATGATGGGCACCTTTGCCGGAATGGTAACAATGTCCTTGGCAAAGTGCTTGTTCTGCAGCACAGACTCGATCATGGCCAGAGTCAGTTCGGGCAGGGGCTCCGGCTCGCTCGGCTTCTCAACAGAGGCGGCCGCCTCAGAGCTGGCGCCAGTAGCTTTCTCTGCAACAGGGGCAGCGTTCTCGGGAGCAGTGTCCTTGGCGGCTTCAGTGGTAGCAGCAGCCGCGTCGACGACAACGGCCTCAACAGCCTCATCAGCATCTTCGACAATAGCCTTAGCAGCCACAGTGGCAGCAGTTTTGGCAGCATCCTCGATGACGGCTTCAATGGCAGAGTCGATGGCGGCCTCGACGGTTGTTTCATCACTGCTCTGAGCGGCCTTTTCAGCTTCAGCTGAGTTGGACTCCGCTTTTTCAACTTCCTGAACCGTCTTCTTTTTTGCCTCGGGAACTTCCTTGGAGGCCATGATACAAATGTCGACAGAGGAGGGGTTGTCGCCGATTCCATTGGTCGAGGAGCCAATCATGTACAGGTTAATGGCTACAAAGGAAAACTACCGTAAGTAAGAAAGAAAAAGTACAAAGTAAAACTTGCCATGTTCCGGGTAGGCAGTCTTGAGGAAGCTTTCCAGAGCTTGGCGCAACGTCTGCTTGTTCTTGAACTGGTCATTGCTCTGGCGGTTTCGCTGGTAGTAGTCCATTATTTCACGCGAAACATACTCATTTGACATGCCTGGCTTGTTGAAGAAGGGATTATAGCCTCCATTGACAGCGTTCCAGGGGCGAAAGACTGCTTGCATGCGAGGGTCGATAACACGCGGACGAGAAATGTTGATCTGCTGTCGAGGGCCATTTCGGGGGCGTGAATCAGTTTGCGGGCGAGAATCATTTCGCTGGCGTGAATCGTTTCGTGGACGAGAATCGTTTCGCGGGCGAGAATCATTTCGCTGACGTGAATCATTTTGCGGGCGAGAATCGTTTCGCTGACCTGAATCGTTTCGCGGGCGAGAGTTGTTCCTCGGGCGATCATTGCCCGTTGACTGAGAGNGTTGATCTGCTGTCGAGGGCCATTTCGGGGGCGTGAATCAGTTTGCGGGCGAGAATCATTTCGCTGGCGTGAATCGTTTCGTGGACGAGAATCGTTTCGCGGGCGAGAATCATTTTGCGGGCGAGAATCATTTCGCTGACCTGAATCGTTTCGCGGGCGAGAGTTGTTCCTCGGGCGATCATTGCCCGTTGACTGAGAACCATTTCGAGGACGAGAATTGTTACGCGGACCAGACTCTTTGCGAGGTCGACTGCCGTTGCCGCCATTGGTGGTTTTGGTTTTGGTGTTGTTGTTGTTGTTTGCAGCGTTTGCAGCGTTGGCAGCGTTAGCCTTGGCCCTGCGAGAACGAGCACCCTTGGGGATGACGCTGGGCGGCTGTGAAAGAGACGGGTTCTTGCTGGTCATCAAAATCGCCGGGTCCAGCAGCATCTCGTTGACCGGGGAGGACATTCTTTGGAAGTTTAGAGAGTGTCGAGCTTGTGGAAGACAAAGGCTGGTGACGAGAGAAGTGGCGGTGGTGGTGGTGGTGAACAAGTTGCAAAGAGACGGGATGAGCAGTACACACTTGTCGGGAGCAGCTTCGTGCTTGTTCGTCGTGGAGAGCAAGTGCAACGACTGACGGCAAACAGTCGGTCTTTTATACCTGAAAAAGATGCCAGGAAAGTCTCTGTGTATAGCCCAGGTTTGTGTGGTGATGAGCAGAGTTCAGCTCACGGTCAAGTCATCTGATGTCTGATCAGACAGTCTGATAAGAGCAAACTGAAACGGTTGCACTACAAATTCAAGTTGAAAGCCATTTTCCCTTTGTCATTCGGCGTGCCCTAGGGCAGTTGCCGAAACATTTCTTCAGCAGGCTAACCAGAGAAAAACTTTTTTGTTGATGAATTTCGAAATGTTCTTGTTCCAAATTCCATTACATTAGAGCAATCAGAACAACACTTAAAACTGGGGGTTTTACAGGTTTATTTGCGTGTTTTCACCTGTCACGATGAAATCAAAGACTGCCAAGGGCAAAAAGTCGTTGGCCTCTAGCTCTCGTCCATCACCTTCCAAGTCGGCTCAAAGTAAGTCCTCATCAGTGAAGTGTGCCAAGGGGCAGATTTCCAAGATCCCTAGCCATGCACGGTGGTCAAAGATCACCAAGGTCACTGCAAAGAGGAAGCGAATTGTTAAAAGCAATTGTGGAAAGGGAAAGAAGACACCGTCAGCACCGGTATCATCATCAGTCACCTCACAGGCACATACCGTACGGTCGAAGGATCTGGAAAAAGAGAGGGAGAACGCGTCGGCAAAACAGGCAGACGGCATTCGCAAGCAGGTCTTCATTCTGTTGCATCGACCATCCGGCTTCGAGTACTTCTACCACCTCTTTGTCGTTCTCCTCATCATCACCAGCTGCTGTGTGCTGAACATTCTGAAGCCGAAAAATCCCTGGGATGACATCTACATCTACAATCACTACCGGACGATTCACATGGCAATGTGCGGCGTGGACAGCTTCCTCACAGGTAGAAAAGGTCCCTTTCTTTGTTTTAAATCTACCACTTACCTCAATTGCTACAGTGTTCCTATTCGCCGAAATGCTGACGCGGTTCTGGGCTGCGGAACACAATGCTCAGTACTGTGGGCTCCTTGGCAAGTGGCGGTACGTCACCGACCATCCGTACCTGGCAATGGACCTCTTCGCCTTCCTCACATTCTTCGGCTACGTCATCTTCAACTTTGCCACCCACACTGACGCCGTCCCGGTGAAGCAGCTGATGGAGGCGGCGTGGTGGGTCCGCCTGGACAGCACCTTTCGCATTGCCCACGTCGTCCAGGTGCTGCACACCTACCGAGTCATCTACAAACTAGTACGGCCCATCTTCTCTACCATCTACCAGCAGGCGAATCAGCTCCTGCTGGCCATCTTTGTCGTCGTCATCGTCATGATTCTCTGCTCGGTCATGGTCTTCCTCTGTAACCTCTCCACGGCAGCCAGCAGCCACCACCACAGCCAGCAGCCCACCTCCCACCGACCGGCCACCGACTTCACTGCGGCCATTTGGCACTGCTTCGTCGCCTTCTCCACCGTCGGCTACGACACCCACCTGCCGTACTCGCGAGAGAGTCTGGCGGTGCTGGCCGCCTGCGCCCTGGTCGGCGTCTGGTCCTTCATGCTGCCCTCCATCATTCTCGGCAACGGCCTCTCCATCACCGTCTCCGAGCAGCGGCGAATGACCTTCCGGTACGTCTCCATCGCCGAGATGATCCGCACCACCATGGCCCACCACCAGACCAATCGAGACCACCACCACCAGCAGAAGGCTTCGAAAAAGAGAAAGCCGCAAAAGGAGCGACAGCTGCGCCTGGTCACCGATCACCTGCACTCGCTCACCAAGCTGGACATTCTCAAGCAGCCGCCACAACACGGCGATCGCCTCCTCAAGATCAACTACGACGGCTTTGACAGTGACGAGCACTCGCTGGCCGATGACGACGAGGCGCTGTGGGACAAGCTGCTGACGATTGACCAGCGGGCAATGCCAGGACTGGGCATTGCCGCACAGGACAAGTATGTCGTCCGCTCGCCTGCTCTGCCTCCTTTGCCCTCACTCAACGAGTCACTGCGCACGACAATGACCTTTGCGAGCAATGCCGCCAGACAGCAGACCAAGAGCAACGGCGGTGGCGCCGGCACTCCCCAGAGTGGCTCCACTCGGGTGCTGGACTGCTTCGAGAACATGGACCTGAGCAAGTACTCCAACGACAACTCCATGCTCTGGTACCACCTGGGCCTGATTGAGGACCGCATGGACGAGATGACCGACGTCGTATGCAACAATCTGGTGCTCCGGGTCGACCAGATTCACCGGCTCAGCAGTCGGCTGGTGGCGTCACTGGCGGCCCTCAAGAGGGAGGTCAGCACTGGCGATAGTAGATGACACGCACACACACACGCACACTCACAGCCAATCAACACCCCTCTGTTCACTCTGTCCACGTTCCTTATCATCAATAGATCAGCACAGTGCCGTTTTTGCAAGTGCAACGTTCGCACTTCGTGACTCTGCCCCCTTGGTAAAGAGCAATTACTCTTCGGAAAGCAAACACTTTGAACTGTTTGCAACTGCGGGGAACACACACTTTCTACTTTTATAGCATTTAGAGATGGACGCTAAAATATGACATTAGGTTTGTCTGATTTAGAAATTTGGTTTGAGTGATTTAACAGTTTAAGCAAATTTTAAGTAAGTTTCCTCTAACTAGTTCGGAAATAATGCAAAAACTACGGACACAGTGCTTTTTCCGTTAATACCATGTAAAGTGAACAATTGAGCAAACAAAAATGCCGTTTTTAAAATTCAAATAATTTCAAACACTACTATTTGTATTTAAAACTATTGTTAGTAAAAGAATTTTTTGCCGCGAGATTTTGACCATTGTCCCATTCAAATTTTGAAAAGTGCAGCTTTCCCGCCAAATCTCTAAGCCAAAGCTGTCAATATATGCAAGTTTGGCCCACTTCCTTAATAGCCCCAGCTCTTCCGCTTTTCAGTTTGTTGTGCTATCAGTGGTAGTCTATCAGTGCAACAGTTTTGCTGCTACTTTTCCCCTTCTCCTCTTCCACATGTGTGACCACGTGTGGCTGCGCTCTCTTGAGATTTTGCGACGTCACAATCCGAGCCACAGTAGCGAAGCACAGAAGAGCGCACTCGATGTTCTTGCGCGACACACTCGATGTTCATTACTCTCTCGACTGTCGACCAGTGCGCATCGCTGAGTCTCACACTTCTGAACCTCTGAAAGTTACGCAAACTCAAAAATGAAGTTTCTCAAGGAAAAGAAGCACGATGGGAAGAAGCTGAACATACTACTTCTCGGTAGGGACGATTCTCATATTTTTGTCATTTATGTGCTAACACCATTCCTTTTACATTGTAGGCAAATCTGGATCTGGTAAATCAACCACCATCAATTCCGTGCCCACCATGATGAAGTACCCTAAATTTAAAGACGCAGTCGAAAATTTAGATAACTTGATCAATCTGATTCCCTGTAAGTTCGTTCTTAGCGACGAAGACGAAAAGCAGATGACCATTCACTCAAGTGGTCTCGATGCTTCAGCCGATGGCAATGAACGCATGGAGAACTACAAGTCGAGCACCATAGATCCGCGCTCCTATCTTTTCAAGCACGGCAACACTGAAATTCGATTGATTGACACTCCAGGTAAGGATTTTAGTAGGAAGCTGTTTTTACCAGTTTTAAACATTCTTAAAAAAACAGGCATCGTCGACACTGAAGGCATGGATGAGGACAAAAAGAACTTGGACAAAGTTCTGAGATACTTGCCCATGATCGAGGAGGTTCAGGGCATCATCATTCTGATAAATACCATGGATAATAAACTTGATGTCACTTTCAAGTATGCAGACATTAAGCGCATTATTAAAAAGTGTTTTATTAATCCTTTTCCATTTCCTAGGTACTGCATCACTGAGCTGCTGACTCAATTGCACCGTGATGCATGCAAGAACATCGTCTTTTGCTTCACTTTCAGTCGCAATTCTCACTATAAACCAGGAGACGCTTTCTACATGTTGAAACAGTTTCTCTCTGACGAGCTTAAGGTTAATTTAAAGCTAAAGTCTAAGGTCAATTGCTTCTTTATTGACAATGAAGCGTACCGTTTCTTGTTGGCTAAGAAGTGCAACTACTCCTTTCCACCAGAGGAAGTCAGTGACTACAAAAACAGCTGGAAGAGATCTGTCGAGCAGACCAACCTGATGCTCAACGTTATTGCCGGCTTGGATGCGCATGATCTGGACAAAACTATTTCTCTAAACAACAGTCGCGATTTTATCTACCAAATGGCGGAGCCCATCGTCGATCTGAATGCACTGCTGGAGGCTAACATTGCCCACATTGAAAATCAGGAGCGCGAGCTGCAGGATGTTACCAAGAATAAGCTCGAGTTGGCTCGCAATCTTAACATTGTCGTTGATGACATTGATACGGAAAATTTGCCTTATCCGACTACTGTCTGTATTTCCGAAAAGTGTATGGATTATGTCGTTGACGAGAAGGGCCAGAAATTGGAGCACTTCAAAACGCGGTGCCATGAAAACTGTCAACTGAAAGTGGACACCAATGTAACTGGTTAGTCAATTGTTTAAATTTTTTTATGAAGTTGTTTTAATAATCATTTTTAGGTCATCATCTTCTGGCGAACTGTTGGGCAATGGACAACACCGGAAATTGCGCCCAGTGTGAGTGTCCATTTCAAATGCATCGACACATCACTTTTGTGACCAAAATTGTCAAAAAGACCGTCATCAACCAAAATCAACAGCTGAAGGTTGACAGTGAGAAGGACGCAATCGAAGCCATCAAAAAGACGATTAAGCAGACGAAGCAAATCAAAAATGAAATGGAAGAAGAGATTGAGATTATTCAGAAAATCAGCGCCAAGTTTGCCTACATTCTGCTTGAGCATTCAAACACGGTGAGTAACTCTATTCTATACTTTTACCTTTTTTGACTAGTTTTTGTTCTTTTTGACTAGCCGTACAATAAGTTTCTCGAGCCTTATCTTCAGTTTCTGATTCGGGAAGAAAGAAAGAAGATTGGTGGCAAGAAGGGATACTCTACGGCTAAGCTCGAAACTCTGGAAAAGATGCTCAAGTCGCACCAAGCGCAGGTATCGATTCTTGTCGAAGCCATCAAGTCAAAATCCAGAGAGGACGTGGACATTAAGGAGACTAGAGTTTTTCAGCGACAGCTTTTCAGCTTGAAACATTCTGGACCAACCTTTCAGAAGTTATTCAAAGACAAAGATTTTGAAAAAATCACCGCCGAGAGTTGGCCATATTTGGATATTTCAGTTGACATCTAGAGAAAGCTCTGATTTGTGCTCCCATTTTTAATAACAAATACTATATGTAAGCTTTCAATTACTCCTGTAACAAGTACCCCTTATGTTTTGCCATGTTTTAAATAAAAATCCACTTTTATGACTCATCGAACTGCCAATTAATTGAAACTTTTTTGGTTACTTTTTCCAACTGTGAAAATATAAATGATGTTTAAAGTGTGCCAAAACTATAAATCTAAATAGTCATTGGAATTCATGAGAATGGTGATTTGGGGCGTCTGGTTGCCTCGGTTCTGCACTTTTTTACTGGTGAACACTTGCTTGTTCTGTAGCACTGCTCCAGTTTGTCAAAGCACCGCACAGAACTCTGCTTTCTATGACTCAACTGTCAGTGTTTTTTCCCGCTCATCAGTTTCTCGTTCTCTCTGTTTAGTGTTTTGCATTCCAAGAAGAAAAGGCCATTAGTGAAATGGTCTTGTCGAAAGGCACTGCGCTGTGTTATCCTAACATGGTGATAGCCTGAACTGGCAGTTCAGAGCTGCAAACTCCTGCTGCAATGCACACCACCAGCTAACTCCGCTGTTATCACCGAGTGCTGCAATCGCTGTGATACAGCAGCGAAACTGAGTGCCACATTTTCTAAGTGGCGCTCTCCTCGGCAACAGGCCCTGTGCCGCACAGGCACACACCAACGAAACTGCCCGCACACTAGCCTTCATCCTTCACTGTCGACGTCTCCACTGTCGGTCGATTCTGCTGCGCCACAAACACGTGGGGTCCCACTGTCACTGTAGCACTGCTAGTGTCGAGAAGTGAAACAACCGCCAAAAAGAACCGTCTTCTCTGACTCAATCGCAAACTACGAGTAAGTTCAGTTTTGCTGTTTTTGACTCTGTGGTCTCTGTTGGTACTTTACATTCCTCTACTTTACACTAGATCTCTTCCAATTCTGCTGAAATTCGCGCATCAAGGATGAATAAATACGCGAGGAAGATTTTTGGTAAAGGAAAGAAAGGCCGCAAAAGTAAAGATGGTCCCAGTGCTGAAGGAGGCGATGGCTACGACGATTCTGGATTTGTCATTGCCGGTCTTCCCAAAGAAGGCAGCCATGACGAAGAAGACGGTGAGCCTATGGAGACGTCCTCCGAGAGTACCGTTCAGGGCTTGAATAGCATATTTAAATGGTTGTCTCTGAAAGATACCGACGAATGTCGTAAGCAAAACCAGAAAACGGCAAGTAAAAAAGCCCTGCCCAAGTACAACATTTTGCTTCTCGGTGGAAGTGGCGCTGGCAAGTCAACTACCATCAATTCCTTTGCTAACTACGAGAAATATCCCACCATCAAAGATGCAGTGAAAAATAAATTTGTAGAGTTGATTTCCTCCTCTTTCAAGCTTGCCCACCCTGAAACTGATGAGGAGTTTTGCATTGAATCAGGCCACGATGCCAACGAATCCGACATACTTGGCCAGTCACGAACAAAAGATCCAATGGCTTATCGATTCACTTTTGCCGACAAAATCATTCGTCTGATTGACACGCCAGGAATGGGTGACGCCAGAGGCTTGAAGGCAGACAAGGAGAACTTTGAGAAGATTCTCGAGTATTTGAAAAACTACGAAACACTGCACGGCATTATCATCATGATGAAGTCCAATGAGACGCTCAATTCGACCGCTTTCAACTACTGCATCACCGAGCTGTTCAGTCGACTGCACCGAAGTGCCAGTGAGAATATCTTTTTCTGCTTTACCTTCAGTCGCAACACCTTTTACCGAGCTGGAGATGGTTTTTACTTGCTGAATCAAGTGCTTAATGAGGAGTTTCCCGATGCCAAGCTGGAATTGAAGTCCAAAGTCAACTGTTTTTTCATCGACAATGAAGCGTACCGCTATTTGGTTGCCAAAAAAGCTGGCTATCCTTTTGAGACCGATCAAATGGCGGAGTTCGCTGTAGCCTGGAACAAGTCAGCTGATCAAACCAGGCAAATGTTTTCGCGCATTATCGAAAAGTCACCGCACAATTTGCTGCATACCTTTAAGTTAAACATGGCGCAGAACTTTATTGCCGAACTGGCTGAGCCCATTGTGCGCCTGCAGAAGAACATCTTTTCTAATATGAACACTATTGAACGGCAGAAACAAAGCATCGAGAGGGACAGTTCAACTATCGACGAGTTAAAGAAGACGATGCACATGACGATTTTTGATATGAAAATGGTGGTTCTGGAAGCGCCCAATACTGTTTGCGCCTCAAACAAGTGCAGAGAAATAGTTCTGGTCAACGGAGTGAGGAAAGTAGATTTGAAAAAGTGCTGCATTGCTTGTCCAGTAGAAGACATTCCAACTCGCAAAAAAGGTAACAACTTAACAATTTTTATCCCAAAAAATAACCTTTTTTCTTAGGGGAGTTGTTATTGAAGTATTGCGAAATCTTTAACAAGAACGGTAACATCTCTAACAATTGCCGTGAATGTGGTTGCAGCTGGAAAGTGCACCTGCATGTTAAACATGAATATCAGCCAGTTCAGAAGAAAGTTATTGACCCTGTGGTAGAAAAAGAACTCAAAAGTTTGTTGGATTCTAAAAAGAGCAGTGACTGCATTTCGAGAAAGATCATTGAGGCGCTTGAGAACACCGTCCGTGAGCTCAATGAGGAGATGGAACACATTCAGAGAGCAGCTGCATGCTTTGGCTATCTGTTGAACAAACATTCTAATTCGGTAAATGTGAATTTTTATTTTGTATAAACTAAATTTTACCTTTTTCAGTCATGTAATCAGTTTATCGAGCCACACTTGGATATGCTAATTGAGGAAGAGAAGATGAAAATTAAGTTTATCAAGGGCTACTCCGATGAAACTTTAATGATGCTGGTCAGTCTAAAAGACAAGCACGGAGAACATGTGAAAAAAATCGAAAAAGTAATCGCCGATGGATATTCGATGGAGCTAGAGGACATTGACAAGCTTGCTCATGAGCTATGCCAGCTGAAGCACTCTGGACAGCAGTTCCAAACGCTGGTCAATCAATTCCTAAAGGACAATGAAAAGAAAGTGGCTCACGTAGAAAGAGTTGGTCTCGACATGTCTGGAAATCAGTAGCGGGAAAATATTGATTACACCAACCTCCGGAATGGTTCTCTCCGTTTGTCGTAATCTAATACCATTTTCTATTTCTAATATTTCTAAAAGAAGCGAAAAGCGAACAGTTTCTCGTGTGAACACACAAACATTCGTTTCGTTAACCAAATAATTAAATGTTGCATTTTGAAAGTGTTTATCTTTTTTTTACCTCTCTTTCCTTGCCCTGAGTCATCCAGTAGTGGTGTGGACGCCATTCCGGCGGACAGTAGCAGTACTGAACTAATCACCGGTACTCTCTAAAGGTGTGTCAGCGGAGGAAATTCTCCATCCTGGAGACACATGTCTTAAAGAGTTTTGCCTCTACAGCTGTTTTATGTTGTTGTGGTTTTCGCTTTTGTGTTTCGATTTCTCCTAAAAATAGGCCCAAGGCCAGTGGTGGCGACTGACACTACTGCGGCTGCACTGTGTTCTCTTTTAGCCTTCCTTGGAGTAAGAAAGTGGAGAAAGGTAAAAGGCATGCCTCAGTCACAACTTCCTTTCATTGTACGCAAGAGGGAGAGAGGGAAAAAGATACATGTAAGTGAGTCGGTGACAATTTATGCTCAAGATATTATTTCCAAACTGACAAACTGTCGACAGTTTGCTGCCTGTTTTGATTTGTGGCCAAACACCGAAAAAATGAAGCGGTAAATTCACCCAAAACATTAAATCTCATCAATATTTTGGCGTTTTTAAGTGTGCCTTTTTCATTTTTCATCTTTTCATTTACACAGTTTTCTCAACTCACCAAACTGTTCAGCCAACAACTGTCAGGCAAACAGTTCAGTTATCTACGAAACCGTTTTCTTTACTTAAGAATTTTGGCGGCCACCATCTTTCGCCACCTGTAATCATTTATTCTCTCCTCTCCTTTCGACAGTGTTCTTGTGCTGTGCTTTCTCTCTCGTTGCTATTCATTAGTTCTACACGGTTCACAGTTCTGATCGGCAGTCACGTTCAGCGACCGTTCCTCTCGATCTTCTAGCCGATTGTCAGTTCAGGCAGTTCATCTTCAGGTGGTGGCTAAGAGAACAACAGGACAACACAACCAGTTCGTGGTAGGGTGAAATCGATGGTGAAGGACGGCAGGAGAGCAAGAAAACAGACGATAAGTCGAAGTGCCCTTTCCCTCTGCCGACTGGTCTTCCTCATCTTCATCATCATCACCGTAACCGTAGTGCATAGTGAAAGGTGTGTGCACTCTCGCTGCACACTCTCTGCACCGGTGCAATGACAGCTGGAGTGGTCCTATTCACAACTAAACAGCCAACGAGTTTACGACTAACCAAGTCTACTACTGCGAGTGATAGTAATAACTGAACAGACTGTCTGTTAGTTCTTACCTCTTTCTGTGTGTGTTTGTGTGTGAAAGCAACGTTGGCGGTGGTGTCGATTTTTATCTTTACTCTAAAATATACAAGAATAACAAAATGCGACAACCATTTATCTGCCTGCTGATTGTCAGCCTTTTGCTGACCTTTTTTCAAATTAGTAAGTAGTTTGTCTTAGTCAAAGTGGTCGAGTGAAACAAATTTCATTCTTTTCTAGATGACTGCTTTCGACTTTTCAATGTCACACAAACTGGAGTGGTCTACGAAAATGAGACACTTTCAGAGAGTTTGCTGCCAACAGCAGCATCATCATCTGCAGACAATCGAACACAAATGATGATGATTGTGGCTAATGAAATCTCCAACTTGCCTCGATTTGATCCGAAGAATGGCGGCCTGATGATGAGCAGACAGGTGGCGTCATCGACTGATGCGACGATGGCAGGTGATGCAGTCACCACAAGTGAATCTCCATTCCCATCACCATCATCATCCTCCAGCACTTCTCAACTACACCAGCCAGCAGACCCTGAAGATGTGACCACTCTGCGCAACGCTTCCAACTCACAGTCGAATGATCCATTCGACAGTTGTCAGTTCTGTCCGGAAGCGCGGTTTCTGCAGCACTACTTCTCCAAGGGCTGTATTGCCATGCAACTTCAAAGTGAATGTCAGCCAAAGTTTTGCCCCAAGTTCTTTGAGTGTCCGGCGGAGAAGGAGCTTCCCAAGGATGGTAAGTGTTTGCCTGTCGACTGAAAGTACCTGTCCACTTCTCCTTACACATTTGCGTGCTCCCTCAGCCTGTCTGTACGAAGGCAAGTCGTACAGCTTCGGTGAGTCAGTGCCCCACCGCGATCCGTGTCAGCACTGCGTCTGCATCAACTCCACCAGCGGACCAATGATGTCCTGCGCCATATCGGAGTGCTTCAACTCGTGGATTGCCCTCCAGCCAAACTGCTATCGCAAGTACACCGAGGGCAAGTGCTGTCCGGAGATTGTCTGCGTCCCCGAAAATCAGAGCCTATCCACCTGTGAACACGAGGGAAACATCTACAACTTTGGCGACTACTTCTCACCTGAGGGTGATCCTTGCCACAACTGCCTCTGTGATGAACGATGGAACAGCAGCAGCAGCAACAACAATAGCTCAAAGCAACTGTTAGACACTGTTTGCACTCGACTCGAATGCCACTTTGACTTTGACCGACCGGAGAACAGGGGCTGCGTTCCGGTGTACAGCGAGAAGGCCTGCTGTCCGATGTATTTTCACTGTCGTAAGTTGGGAATGACCAAATGTGTGTGTGTCTAAAGACCAGAGAGCTCATTCAAATCATTTCTGCAGCTCCTGATGAGTCAACAAAGCCCAAGTGCAAGTTTGGCGGCAACTTTTACGACGTGGGCGAACAGGTTAAGGTGAAACAACACGAGGTCTGCCTGGAGTGTAGCTGCCTAGTGCCACCGGAGATTAGCTGCAAGCACAAAGCCTGTCCGACGGTGCCGACCAACTGTACGGCACACTACGTCGAGGGAGAGTGCTGTCCGCAGTTCAAGTGTGACACTGCCGCAGTGATGGTGGTGGGAGGAGGGGGAGTGGCAGAGGGAAATTTTGACGAGGAGGGTGGTCTAGGTAAGTGGTCTACAATTGTCTGCAAGTAAATTACTACTTCCCAAATACTTCAAACAGAAAAGAGCTTGTCGCCAGCCAAAGAAGAGAGGGACAGTGACGCCCCTAACCAGAACTGTCCTCCAGTAGAAAACTGCAGAGAGCCCTGCAAGGTAGTGCAGGTGGACCACCACCGTCAATTCGCCGGTGATGACGCCGACCTGGAGGCCAATGAACAGTCAGAGGGTGTCCGCTGTGCTCGCTGTCAGTGTCTCCTTCAGGAAACACTCGTCCCCACCGAGAATCACATCAACTCGGCTGCAGCATCGGCGGTGCCTGTGAGTGAAGAGGAGGAGGAGGAACGGGAACAGTGGGGCAAAAGCATACGATCACCTCCCTCCCCAGCATCAGCAGCCTCGAGGTGTCCTCCAGTGGACTGCCACCACCCGTGCTACATCTACAGGGTGGCCAGTGGAGACTGTCCACGGTGTCTCTGTCTGCCCAAAAAGACGGAACAGTTTTAAGAACTGGTGTTTTTATTAACATTTTTATATTCTACACATACAGTTCATACATACACAGCAACTTGAATAAAAGGCATTATTTCTTTTTGATGAGATGAATTTTTTAATTATATAAAAGCGGTAAAATGGGGGTTTGTTTTGTCACATCTGTTCATCGGTAGACAATTTGGGCGTAGGAGTGTTTTCAGCACAGAGAGGATACTACTTTTGAAGCAGTCAGTGGTACCAGTTGCACCGGAGCAGAGACGAAAAAGATGAATTGAGAAAATTAGATCAGGAAAATTTTCCTAAATAAAATGGCAGAGTTGTAGCAGTATTCTTCATTGTGATTCAGTTGAAGTTGAAAAGAAGAACATTGAGGACAGACTGGCAGCCGAGATCGATAGCCTCCTTTTCAGTGGAAATTAACCAAGCGATGTGCGAGTTGATGATCGTGTTGTTGAAGTGTGAGTTTACTAGGATAAAGGCAGCACCGAGGATAATTGAAGAGATGTACATCTTATCGCGATTAAGGTTTTCCAACTCTTCAATGTCATCGAGAGCAAATGAGTTGAATGGACGTTTTCGAAATGTTTTAAAAAGTCTGTAGAGAAATGGCAGTTGAAGCATGTAGTAGTTTTCAATTAAAGTTACTGAAACTTCAAGAATAGCAGAGATATTTTTTTGTGAAAAGTAGCTGACAAACATCTTTCCATATAGTTTTTTCAAGTCCCGGATTAAGCTGAAAAACAGCGCCTCAACGTAGTCCTTCAGTGGAGTGATGCTCAGCTCAAACTTTAGGATGTACAGAACTTTGGCCTCTATGGCGAAAAGTTCCTGGCGATGAACCAACTCGATCGGCACTCCCTTAGAAATGAGAAGCGTCCTCAACTTGGAAATTTTAAGGTGCTTAGAATTGATCTGCTTTGAAGCAATGAAGATACAGATAGCCATTGCAATGATGCGGCCATAATTGCACAACTTGGGATTGTTTCCAATTTGAAGAAAGAGGCTGCCGAAGTGCATATTCAGCATTTTGAGAAAGCCGATGTTGACTCCAAAATTGGAGTTTAGATTGGTATTGTATGGCAACGCCTTCAAAATTCCACCTTTTAACGAGTTTTCGACGATACAAGTAAAGAGCTTGTCAAAAAGCTCAATAGCGTAGTGGCTCACAGCTTTGTCAATGTGAAGAGACCAGCAAATAGAAACCATTTCTTCCTGATGTCTGTTATAAGAATCAAGCGCGTTTCGAAAAGAGAGAAACGAATGTGCGCCATATCTGCGAAACTTTGAATCTGAAATGTATAAAATAATAAAAATAGAAATTTTTATCGAAATTACAAATTCGGATACAGACCATAGTAGACGTATTCATTAACGCTCTTGGTACACTTCTTGACGAGAATTGAATCACGACTGCTCTTTTTCAGCTGCTCTAAAACGTCATGAAGCATGGTAGGAGAGATTGAACAACTGACGGCTTCCATGTTGCTTTCAGAGATTTGTTTTCAGAAAAATGAAGTGGAGAGCATCAAATAA